TACGAGTCATTGGAAACCCCAGACTGCCACAACATACATTGTCTTTACGAGTGGATGTGAACTGTCATGTATTTTTAACTCTCCGTTACCTGTGACGGTGATGTTGACGGCGTTGCTTCTCTCCACTCCACCTTCACACCAGTACTCTCCACTGTCGCTGAGAAACGCCGGTTTGACGGCGCAGACGGTCGCCCAACCGGAGACGCATGTGCTGACTCGTCCCTCCGTCTTCCTGAGGACGGCCCACCGAGTCGCTGGGTGGAATCCCTCACAGTCGATGGAGAGGGAGCTGTGTTCAAAGAGCTGCAGTCTGCTTGGAACGATCTGAGCAAAGACTGCAAATGAAATGAAGATGCATAAATGAAACACATCTGGAGGGACAACATATGAATATTCAGACTTCTAGCTTTTTTTTTTTTTTTTTTAGAGTTTTCTGAATCAGTGCTGAAAGTGCTACTTACAAACATCTTGGGCATGATGAAGGTGAATTTGTGCAACCAGCAACACATTCCTCACTGAAGAGAAGAAAAAAGAGAACTGAGAATCAGACTCAGCTAATTAAACTGAATTTAAACTGAAGAACACATCACATGAACACATCGGTACTCACGCAGCCGGACGCTGAGCGCTGTGACCTCCATGATGCCGCCGACCGTGTGAACACCACACTGAGACGAAGACGAAGTAAAATGTAGGTTAGACCCTCCTCTTCCTCGGCGACTGACGGATAATGTCGATGCAAAAATAAACTTGTGCTGAAGCTGTGTCATGTAGAGAGAGCTCCTGACTCTTTGTTATTTGGGTCGAAATCCCTCCCCGAGCCTTTTGTTCCAGCTGATAAAGAGCCTGCGTGGTTCATATTCTGACACAACTCTGTGTTAAAACGAGTTGCTACGGATTAAAGGTAAAGTTATTGACGCTTTATTGGTCGAACTGTGATGTCAACACAGCGGCAGAACTGTTGACAGAGGTCTCCACTGAGGTACGTCATTCAAACAACCACAGCGATGCTTTCACACCAGCTGTCCGCAGAATCAGAACCAATCATGGAACATAATCTGCATTCGGCCACCAGCAGAACGACATCAACTCGAGCAGAGAGGATTCAAGGATTCAGAGTTAAAAACTTTTAGGCTGAAACTGAAAACAAGGTTCTGAGCAAAAGGGACACTTGGAAATGAGAAAAATCATCCCGGACAACAATGGCTGAGTGCAGGACAGGAAGCAAGAACTTCCACAACTGGAACTGAAAACACAAACCTGAATGAACCGAGCAGACTGTGCACCGAAGGAGGCAGAGAATCACACGGAACAAATGTGAAATTCTGTGTAAGAGACAAAAGCAAACTTAGAAATATGTGTATAAACTGTGAGTTAGTGGATTTTGGACCTTGAGCTCCTCGTGTGACGTTTGGTTCCGTCATAACACCAGATCTAAGCTTCAAACTGTTGGTATTTCATCAAAAGCACTTTACTCTAAATGTCTCCTTTATTCTAAACAGAAAAAAAACACTTAAAATTCAGTATTTCTTGCTGCAACCGTGAAGCCATCAGTGACTCATCTGTGACCAACAGATTTATGAGAAAACTTTTTTGGAGTCACATTTTTTTCCAAGTTGGAAACACGTGTGGACGACAGGTTTGTAAAATAAGTAATCAAAGAAATCAAACTTCAGTTTTCTATTTCGTCTATGAATGTCTTTATAAGTTCGTTAAACTTCACGGAAGTCACGTCTGAGTTCTGTCTCCTTCTTTGTGGTTGTTCTGTTTCTGTAGAGCTGCAGTGAAAAATGAACCCACAGTGAGGAAAAACTAGACAAGAACAAAACACATCGAGAAACAGCAGCTTAGAGTTTATACAGCTTTAAATTCAGGATTCTTTAAGTCATGAAAATGCTTGTCAATGTGAAACCAAACTTTGTTTTTTCTCATAACTCATTTTGTTGTGACTTATTAACTGCAAATTATTTTAGGACACCAACGTTTCAGCAGCTGTCAGTCGTGTCTGACTGACCGAACATGAACCACGACTTCTTTTCATAGAGATAGACGTCACTGTGGTTTGTCTGCTCAGGGTTTCAGTCACGCTTTCTGAGCTCAAAGAGGATCCTGAGTGTGTTGGCTGAACAAAGCTCAAACCTGACCTGCCTTCAGCCCTCACAAATGTTTTCTCACGGTCGACTGCAGCCGCAGCAAAACTTCATTCACAACATAAACAGTTAGATCAGCCGAGAACATCTTTACAGAGACAACAGCAGAAGCCAGAGATGCCTTTAATGTGCCAAAGTACAACAAAATCATAACAATGAAACTGTTTCCAGAGACATTTGCAGACAGATGTGATTTTACTCATATTGAAAAAAAATTTAAAAAAATAAAATAATAATAACAATACACTGTAGGTTTATCAGTCACATTTGAAAATATCACATTAAAGCAAACAAATGCAAAGTAGAATGTTAATGAAGACAGATGTTACTGTCTAAGGTGAAGCTCACACAGGATTTCTCTGTTTGTTGTTGGATTTATTTGGATGCCACGTCCGTCCAGATTAATCGTCTGTAGGAATGTAAACAGAAACGTGTCACACATGTTAACATTGGTCACCTGGTGGAGATGATGTTAATTTTAAAATGTTTGATCTTCAATTGTTGACATTTTGTTGCATTGACAAGCAACCAAGATTGCCAGAAGGGTCAGTTTTTTCATGAACCTTGCCCCTCACTGCAACATGTACTCTGAGAGCAATTCAACCCAGAAGAAGAAAAGCTCATCGGGCCCTAAGGTTTCCTAGGGGTTGGGTTATTGTTTAACTTTGCAAAAGAATAAATAAAAGTAAACGGAATGAAGTAATATTCTCATTAATTGACTGCACAGCTGCTGGTGAAAATCATCTGTTGTCTAGTCAAAAACAACAGAAATCGGACCAAAAAAAAAGACCTGTGGAGTCCCCCAAGGCTCAATACTTGGTCCACTTGTTATTCCATTTACTCACATACATTTAATCTAATTAGGCAAAACCCTAACATCTTTCACATTATGCTGATGACATGAACCTTTACCATCAGTAAAGTGAACAGCAAAACTGCCAACTTTGTGTCTGGTGCAAAAGCGATAAAGCGTCATAGTCTCTTGGTTTCAGACTCTATTTTGTTAGTGGAATGTTTTTTTTTTACCTCCATGTTTCCAACACTGATATTTTTCCAACAGCACCAGCAGCAGAGCTGCAGATAAACTGGTACAAACAGCCTTTATGAGGAGGTAGAGGAGGACTGGAGTTCCACTGGAAGAAGCCGGACACTCTGAAAAGACAGTATCAAGTATTTTCTGTCAAAAGCGATTTAAATCATTTTAAATTATAAAAATGATCCTCATGCGATATGATGCATCACATTTAGGGGTTCAGGGTCTTGTAATGAAATTCTGTAAGTATCTTGAACTTATCGGCGCCATAAGTTTTTATGTCAGAAGTACTTTCCTCACCTCTGACAGTGAGCAACCTCGCTAGTGATTCTCCAGCTCCAATAATGTGACACTTGTATTGTCCTTGGTGTGATGTGGACACACTCTGGATGCTCATGTTCCCTGTAGAGCTGCTCCGGATGAAGCGCCCGTCTTTATAGAAGTCGGCAGTGATGTTGGCGTTCACCTTGTTCAAGCAGTGCAGCGTCACAGCGTCGCCCTCGATCAAGGTCAGGCCTGGACTCCCCAGCACCATGGGAATAACTATTAAAATACATGTTCACACAGCGAAATTGATATTTATGCAAGTCCCATACAAGACAAAGGCTGAGATTCAGACAAGTAATGACATATTCCCCTTAAAATAATATAAGTTCATCTGTCTTTGTTAACTTGATTCACACATATTAATCCACACGTTGCCTGATATTTTATTCATTTTTCTGTTAATCCTTGCGAAATAAGTTCAGTCATTGGCTAGATTAATGCTATCATTATGCATAAAACCCTAAAGGTGACGGTTTGTTGCAAGATGGAGGTCACATCCTGTAAAAAGTGCAAAGTCACAGGTTTTTTTTTTACACACATCTACAGATGCTCCATGTGTTTTACTGTCTTCTATATGAGGGTCAATGCAGCTGACTGCAGCAGACCAGCACGTACACAACGACTAGAACCACATCAACACAGTAGGAGGTTACATATTCATAGACTGACAAGGCGTTACAGCCCAATCTGTAAGTCGCTGCTGCATCCTGTAAAAAGTGCCCTTACCTTTGACTTCCATCCATTTTCCTGAAGATTCACCGATTCCGGAGATGCTGCACTTGTAGGGTCCTTCATCCGACTTGGAGACGCTCTGGATGGTCGTCTCTCCGTTGTAGCCGGTTGCAAACAGGAAGCCATGTCGGTAGAAATCTGCGATGTGTTTTATGGGAGTTTTGCCCCTTCTACAGCCGAGGGTCACGGACTCTCCCTCCATCACGGGGTTGATGGGAATCTCCAGGGTCACGACACCAGCTGAAAACAAGTAAATAATGCTTTTCATTCTACGGTCTACAAATGACAAAGATCCCTATTTCTTTGCTTCATTGTACTTATTTTTGTCATTTGTTTTGGTATTTTGTGCCATGGTGTCCCTAAAAATTACTGAATTATGAAATTTAAGCCAAAAGGGTAGCTGTCAATCAAGGCTCTAGAACAACCGCCGTCTGGCTTTCTGCAAGTCTGCAAGACTAACTTGAGTTCTGCCATCTTCCTAAATACTGATGTTTGCAGTCAGTCTGCTTACAGTCTGTGCCAACCGGTAAACAAACGTTAACATAACTCATCATTTAAAGAGTTGTAATTGAAGCAGTGACTGTCGGACATCGGAGGTGCTTCGGTTTGTACCTGCTGACCTGCAATGAAACACAGCAGGAGGTTCTAAATTCTCAAGATGTCTTGTGCCATGTCTGCCCACTGACAAGGCGCTACAGCCCAATCTGCAAGTAGCTGCAATGCAGCTGTAAAAATTGCAGTTACAGGATTTTTAGAAACATCCACAGGCGCCCCATGTGCTTCTCTGTCTTCTATAAAAGGGTGAACGCACTCGTCTGCAGCAGACCAACATGTACTCAACGTAGCATGAATAGAACCACTCGCTATCTGCACCTGAAAGAGTTCTCCGGCTGATTTTCTGGTTTCTGCATGTTATTCCTGTTTAAATAGAGACTCTTCAGACTGTTGCATGTTGTTGAACACTATCACATCCATACGAAACGATCTACCTTGAACAACCAGCCAGCGCTCTGGTGATGTGCCAACCCCCGAGATGCTGCACCTGTAGAGGCCTTTGTCAGATTTAGAAACGCTGCGGAGGACCATGCTTCCGTTGTTTCTGCTGTCGATCAGGACGTCATTCTTGTAGAAATCAGCTGTGAAGTTGAATAAGGCCATCCCCTTTCTGCAGTGCAGAGTCACCGTTTCCCCCTCCAACACCGGAGAGTCGAGACCCTCCAGGGTCACAGCTGAACAACACAAACAAGGAGTGAAGAGCGAGACTTGACCTGAATCGACTCAAAACTGGTCATTGAAGCAGAAGGTTACGGTGTGCTGTAGTTACTAGGATTTCTAGTGTTACTGTAGGGGACCAATGTGCTACAGCAGCAAACATAACAAAGTGTATGACAGGTTAAAAACTGCCTCAGATTTACTCTAATTTTGGTAAAAATACGCCTGAATACTGCAAGCACAGGCAGTTTTGAATCTCTCACACCACTGCATGCATTGATATTTAACTCTTTATGTTTATGTTTCACAAACTAGATTCACTGTTTTAGGAGAAATACACTTTTGAAGGAATTTGGCTGCAGTTCATCTTCTACTCACCTGCCTTCTGAGAATCAGAATTGTTCTGTGCTTGTGCAACAGGCAGCAGCAGCAGCAGCATGTTCATCACTGTGGAGACAAAGGAGTTTATGTCAGACGTTCACACGCCGAACAGGCTAACTGCTAATGCACTCAAATGGAATTAAAAAGCAAAACTTAATGTGATGTGGATGCTGAATAAAACTGATTTAGCTGAGGCTGGCTCTTACGTGCTATTAAAATTAGCAAAAGGATTACAAGTAAATTGTTCTATTTAAAGTAACCACCAGGTTAAAGGTCCAATATTTGTCTTTGAAATGCAACAGCTTTAAGTTATTTAGCTGTAAAATGTTAAAGGGCTAAAGTTAAGTGACGTGAAAAGTGCAAATCTACAGTAAATGTATGAAGTTAGTCGTGTTTTAAAAATAAAACTCATCAGTCTGCTGCAACCTGCACATGTGAAGACTTCCTGGTACGTACTTGCACACGATAGCTTATGCATAATAGTCAATATTGCACCAATGCTGCAGCATAAAAATCCCCATTGCCTGACATTTTAAGATGATTTGCAGTAGTTATAGATATATATGCATGTAATGAACATTGCTGATTCGACCACAGTAAGGTTTCACTGATAGATGTCAGTCCTTGAAGGTAATTATTCTGCCAGATATTGGTCAGAGAAAACAAAATGCCACAACTTCAGAAATGCAGCGACTACAAAGGAGAAAATCAATAAGACATAAGTACGATATGACAGTGAAATGAAATAATTCAGCTAAAGCAGGGCGAGAACACAAAGGTGAACAGTAATGCCGGCAATTGTACCATTAAAATGAAGCCTCGTCCGGTATAACGACAATGTTGACAATCTAAAGTCAGAGGTTATGAGAGGAGCTTATAAAACAACTCTATCTGATGTCCTGCTGCATACAGCGACAGACTCGGTACTCACACAGCCCGACGTGCAGAGGTGCCGCCTCCATGTCGCCTTCTCGTTGACTGAGCAGCCGTCTGAATTACAGCTGAGACCCTCCTCGTCGCTCTGACGCTTCCTCATTTCTGGGGCACAGACGCTGACCTCAAAGTCTTGTTTAACTTTTTGAATTACGACGCTGCACTTCGGATTAACAAAGATTATTTAGCGCCTTCACGTTCCAAGAAGGCAGTAAAACAAGATCAAATGAAATCAGTAAAAAACACAGTAAAGGATTGTTACAGTTTGTCAAACCTGCTGATATTTGATGTGCATTTTTTACAGCATGGACAGAAAATACGACAGGAGAGACAACACCAGGATGAAAACAGCTAAAGCGATTTATGCCTGTAAGTTTTCTAGCAGGAAACTACAGTCTAACGCTGTGGATGCATTGAATTTCCACTGTAATAAACATGGCTGCACGACAACAGCTCCCTTGCGGACGCCACAAACGTATACTCGTTGCTATTATACTGATTTATATTTTGCAGGAGTTTGCTGGCTTCATATGCGCTGCAAAGCTCCGCAAGCACACCAACGTCTGAATGCCATAAATTTGGTAATTTCCAAAGTTTTCCAGAGTTCACATGGACCGTTTCATTCTTTAGTAGCGTGTATGCACAGTATACATAGACACGGCTGAAGCTGCACATGTGCCGGAGCTGCTTTAATTCTTTATAACATTCACTGTTAGTTTCTCCTCCAGGTGCTGCCACCATGAAGCTAATTTTGCAGCAACTCATTGCTCCCGGTGCTCCTGCAACATCAGACAAGCTCCCGCTCCGACCGCCTGCAGTTTCACCGCCAACCTCGAATTTGAGCAAAGACATAAAATTCTCACATGAAACCGAGTTTGAATGATTGTTTTTAAGAAGAAGAACAAATAGACCTATAGGCTATCAATAAATCAAAAGAGCACAAAGAAAAAGTCATAGTTTCCCAACTCTAAATGAAATATTCTCTAAACGCCATAGACTAGAAAAGGCAGCATCTTGTTGAGCCAGTTTCTCTCTCGTGTGAACACAGAGACCCAGACAAAGAAAGAAACTTGACTTTCAGGTGGCAGAGCAAAGAAAAAAAAAAAAAGAGCAGCACCTTGTGGAGGAAGAGGAAATGTAGGACGAAAAAAAAAGGCTGCAAATGAGAAGAAAGAAAACGATATGAATGTAAAAGAGCAGAGAATCACTGTTATTTTTATTTATAAAGACTCCACAGACCGTGAGCTTTAAAGACGCTTCCTTTATTTGAGTTTGAAGACAGAATCACAAAACATGCAGAGCAGCTGGATAGAAAAGCAACTTCATCTTTACAGCGATTAAAATCAATAAAACAAACATTCAGAGATGAACACAAAGATTGGTCCACGTGGTGACACTGATGCTTCACTGTGTTGTCTGGTGGCCTCGACGTTGCTTTGAGCTCGACTGTGTGGTCCATTCAATCTGCACCATTTCTGCTAAAATATATATTTCTGATTATTAGGCTGCAAGTTTGCCAAACACACCCACGGAGGTGCTGACATCAGAGTAAAGATCATTTAACTTTATAAAACAGCACATTATATTACAGCAGCACCAGTCATTTCCCACGTCGCCTGACTCTATATGGAGCTAAACGTCAAGTCTTTGGTGATTGAAGTCTGTTGTCCTGATAACTGGGTTGTTTCAGTGCAGATAAAGCTGGAACAGCAACACTTCCTGCAGAGTTTTTTTTTTTTGTCCCACTGAATCTAGAAGGACGTGCATTTACAGAGCAGCCAACAGGAACAATGGCCTCGTTCAGAAACTTCTCTCAAGTATAAAAACTGAACCAAGAAGTCTGGCTGCCTCTCAGACCAGTCATAAACCAGAGGAGGCTACTTATCGGCATCATAACTGAACACATTATCTAATTATAACTTCTTGCTGTCCAAAAGTCACATGCATGAAACAAAGGGACAGAATAAGGCTGAAGTTTGCAGTAAGTGAACATCACTCATTTATTGTTTGGGCGTCTGTGACCTCGCACTCATCCCCCTGAAATAGACGTTTGCTTGCATGGTTTGAGAGGTCAAATTTTTACCGGCATCTCAAGGTGTCTAAATAAAACCGAAGACGACGTGCTGATGAAACTCGCTGCACGCCTTTTAAAATAGGACGTGTGCGTCTACAACGTCTGTGGGTTTGTAACGTGTTCTGCTTCTACCGCAGCGTGAGAGCTTCAGCAACGACTGTCTTCTTTATTTACTCCTCAACATATCTTCTGTGGTGAAAGACATGGCAAGTCATTCTGTTTCTCACGTAACTTTGATAAACTTTGCACGTCTTTGCAGCGCTGTGACGCATTTAAACAGGTAAAATTAAACATATACTGATAGCAGATCAAAAATAAAAACACACTGCGGTACAACTTTTGTTTTTTTTTTTTTTTTTTTGTTTCGTTGGTGATCCTTTCATCGTCGAGTGAAGTCTTTGTGTCTACCTCCGAGTTTCCCGTAGTGAAGGAGTCCCACCAGCAGGAGCAGCAGAGCCACCATCAGCACGGTGAAAACAGTCCTCAAGATGAGGAGGACGTGAAAGAAGCTGCCTGACTGGAGGCAAGCCTCTCTGCTGAGCCCTGCAAAGACACAAGAAAGATACCTGCAGTCATGTAATTGCAATATTTGCCCTACGACTGATGATGCCACCGCCGTGCTCAAAGCGGTACAATGAGGTGAAGCCATTGCATGCAAACTTAAGTCATATTTTTGAATTGGTCAACACACGTTGCTCAAACACTCAACACGTTCTCACTCCGTCCTCGTCACATATGGACACTTGGTCAGGCTGGATCTCCATAAACGGTGGTAACAGACGACATGAGAACGTGGAGGAGGAGCCTGTTCTGGTGTTTTGGAACAGCGTACAAAATGTGCTCTGATCCTTTCACAGCTGACGTATTTGTACATTTTTAACCTTTTCGTTCATTGGACTTCAGCTTTAACATATTTTGTCTGCTTCTCTGAATACACGCAGTGATTTTATCATCCAGTTTGGATCGCCAAGCTCTGTCTCAAAAAGGCCATTCATGAAGGCATCTGGTCTACTGGATGCTTCTTTTTATTTTAATACCAAATCACTCCGTGTATTCAGAGAAGCAGGACAAAATATGTTAAAGCTGAAGTCCAATGAACGAAAAGGTTAAAAATGTACAAATACGTCAGCTGTGAAAGGATCAGAGCACATTTTGTACGCTGGTCCAAAACACCAGAACAGGCTCCTCCTCCACGTTCTCATGTCGTCTGTTACCACCGTTTAGGGAGATCCAGCCTGACCAAGCGTACGTGACGAGTAAGAACGTGTTGTAGCACCATAAAACCTGTTGCTCTTGTCCATGAATGTGGTGCATCCCGGCAGTGTGCACATTAACTTTTGACATTTGGGAGTTGGCGAGGACCTGAGGTGAGGTAACCTTAACGTTAAGGATTATCGCTGGTTGTGTACATTAAATTCATCCCCAGGTGTTATTTATTTATGGGTTTAAAAAGCAGGACTTCCAGGGAGTGTTATAAATGTGGCAGGAACGCCGGTTTCTGCCTTTTCTAAACACAGTCAAAGAACTGTTGGATTGAACCCGTCTTAGCACTGGATGATTTGGGGACCGCAAAAAGTTCTCGGCCTCGTCAGAAAACATCACAGAAGAAAGACTGTTCTTGCTTCATTTTTTAAAAACAAATGTGTCCTTTAACTTCAGTGCACTTGATGTTAAAGCTTCACTATCTCTCAGCGGAAGAAGGCCACGTCTTGAAAACCACACATGACTTCACCGTCACTCTAAAAATGGCAGCCATAGTTCAGTTTGGGAAACGGATGGAAGTCAAAAGGTGAAGGCTGGGTGAGTATACAGGGTCAACTCTCCCTTCCTTTTTTATTTGGTCGCTTCAAAACATTAACACTTTTGCGGATACTGATATCTGGGTGATGCCGAGAGCGTTCAGTTGTACTTTTAGTGATTGCGTCATGTTCAAGTCTCACCTTTGACGGTCAGCCAGTTTCCTGGTGATTGTCCAGCTCCAGATATTCTGCACTTGTAGAGTCCTTCGTGAGACTTGTAGACGCTGTTGATGGTCATGATTCCTGTCGAGCCGGTCCCGATGAAGAGGTCGTCTTTGTAGAAGACAGCCGGGAGGTTGGGCGACAAGCTGCTTCTACAGTGCAGGACAGCAGCTTCTCCCTCCGTCACTGGGCGAGCAGGACTCTCCAGGACCACGAGACCAACTGAACAACATGAAGATTTATCTTAGACAACCAAAAAACTACCAAACCTAACACCAAAGAGCTTCACAGAGGTGCAGAAGATCATACTTGACAGAGATTCTCCATGCTTCTGGAACAGTGCTGGACATATGGACACCATTCTTCCATAATATTCCACCATTTATGTGTTTAATGTGCATGTCTGAGTTTGTTGCATCACCTCAGAGTTTGCCATAGGTGTTCATTTAGATTGGTTTGTTCAACATTTTTAGACTGGATGATAACATCTTCATTTCATCGTGCATACAGTTAACGTTGCCAACATCGGTGCAGTTTTTCTTATCATTAAAACCCAATTAAAGCACAAATCAAGGAGTAAAGTTGTCAGAAAAAGAAGAAATTAAAATGTAATCACTGTCAGAATGGACTTTATTGTAGGACCTCATTGTTTCGAGAAACAATATAATTCTGTAATTGGGTGTTTTGTTTTTACTCTATGCAACACTTTGGACAGACCTTCGATAAATACCTTCGTTGGTTTCTTCTCTTAAAGTGTCATTCGTCACAGCCAACCAGCTCTCTGGTGATTCACCGGCTCTGGAGATGCTGCACTTGTACAGCCCTTCATCCGACTTGGAGACAGCCGGGATGACCAGCTTTCCAAAGCAGCCCGTCCCGATGTGGTGGCCATCTTTGTAGAAATCTACTCTTTGGTTTTCAAGAGCTGCCTTGCTTCTACAGACCAGGACGACAGTTTGTCCCTCGGCCACAGGAAGAGCAGGACTCTCCAGGATCACAGAACCAGCTGAAGCACATTTGCACAAATTACGTATTAGAACGTAAAAAAAAAACAAAGAAAAAGAAAAATTCAGGCGTGCAGATGTTGAAATAGAAGAATATCTACATGCCAAGGACAAGTACCGGACAGCTTTCAAATACTGGACAGAAAAGCGACACACCAAAATCTAGCAAATCTTATTGCTGCTGCGAGATGCTTGGCGATGTTGAAACATTTGCAACGCTACTTGCTAAGCTAACGAGTGAAGCATCCATCCATCATCTCTACACCTTAATCCTCAC